TAAATACAACCAAGTAACTGACTTCAACAGCAAGCATCCAGTTTCTGCTGCTAATGGATTGTTGATTACAGCAAGCTGCTTGCTTAGCCCATGAAAGCTTCAGCCCATTCTAGAGTGAGACAATGTTGAAGTGAGACAAACTTTGGTACCTTGATGGGAAAATTACTCTTAGGAAAATGAATTAAAAAACGCAGGGCTAGGATTTTCTGTCCTTACAAATGGAAGAGCAGAGAAAATGTGGGTTTCTGTTCCGAACTGACAATGTCCTCTTGGTACAGGTGTTGTCAAGATGGAGCCTCTAACTTCTACCATTGTCTTTTGGGCTCCTTAGGACGTTCCTGTAATGACCTCACATGAAATGCCAATGGGCAGAGTCCCTTCTGGTCAAGAACTTGGCAGGTACAGTGGGAATACAAAAGCTTAAGAAACTGGGCTCAGGTCATCTTCATGTTCCTGACTGTAGGGAGGTTCCTGCTGTAACACTAATGTCTGCCACTGCTGTAGTCTTGTAGTGTTTGAATTCTCCAAGAAGTTATGGAATAGGCTGACTGACTGTGCCAGCAGTCATGCTGAAACCTTCAGCCAGTGTTCCTCGTGAGTCACTTCCAGCATGCCTTAGAGAGGAGGGCAAATGTGCTTGGCTCAGCTGTTGACCACAACTCTTTGAGTGCAGCTATTCAGCCAGTTCCTTATCCACCACATGGTCCATCTGCTAAGTCCATGCCTCTTTAGTTTGGAGACAAGGATGTCGTGCGGGACAGTGCCAAATGCCTTGCACAGGTCCAGGTAGATGATGTCAGTCACTCTTCCCTTACCCACCAAATATCTTTTATCTCATCTGAAGTATTAAATCAGGTGAAATTCATAAGGAAGATAAAGCAAATGCCATATTGTCTAGCAGCATCACGTTGGTATTTCTTCAGTCTGAGTTCTAGCCACAGACTGTGCAGGGATTCTCTAAGGAGATCACTGTTGGGAGCAAAAGTACCCACGTCTGAGTTTGGAGAAGTTTTAGCTAGTTGGTGGCAGGAATAGACTTGCAGCTGCTACTGAGAGGAGTGGGAGAGACCACTGTATCATGGTGAGCATCCTCTGGACACGACTGAGGTGGAGGTTGGTTTGGCACAGAATGGTTTGATTTTGCTGATTCAAACTCAACTCAGCTTCTTTGATTCTCCTTGAAGCCAAACTACTCTTGAAAACCAATTTGCTGTGCCCACAGCCCCAGAGGAGTTCAGGGAAGCAAAGAGCAGTGGTCACAAAAATCTCACTGACTGAAGTCCAGAAAGAGCTACTGCCAAGTGCGACCTCCAAACCACGGGGCAGAGAGGCATCGTCCTTGATGTGTGATGGGGTAAAGCAACATGGAACAACGTCTCTTCAGCTGCAATCCAGTGTCAGAGAAGGAGTTAGGAGGAGGACCTTGCCAAGCCAGAATTGCTTTGCATGGGACCATGTTTGGCAGCATGTTACTTCCCCATAATAGCTGTGCTGATGCTTTCATAATAAAGTTCTCAGGCAAGAGAGGCACGCAGCCACTCACAGCGCTGGGGAGGCTGCGCAGGGCTAAAAGTAGCCTTTTATGATCATTATTGCTATTACAAACTTGGGCTGGAGTGGGTGTTAGGGGAAGGTCAGTAGCCTGGGGAAAAGATTCACTCTGATGGTTCATGCTGAATGGCATGGGGTTTTCTGTGGGAGATGATTGACCAGGTCATGTGTGTGTAGCAACGTAGGAAGCTCAGATTGATATGATGTAGACAAGGGGCACAAGAAGAGGTTGCAACACATCTTCCAGCAGAGTGAAAAATGCTTCCTTTCTCAATACAGAAAGAGAAGGGAAAATTGATTATTCTTGGCAGTCTGCTGCCCTGCAGGTTTTGCTTTTGCTGCTGCTGCCTGCGTTTTAGGGAACACTTATCTAAGAATAAAACGGGGATTTACGTGTTTGTGCAAAATCTGGTTTTCCTTTCAGAGGAGGTATCATTATTCAAATAATCCGCTTCTCTCAGCTTATTTTTCCTAGAAAAAAAGGAATTGGCTAATGTAACCCACCCTCACCATTCATTCATCTTTTCCCACATGGCTCTCAAGGGCTCCGACTCCATTTCTCCATTTTTTCCAACCAAGAGTGGCCTGCTGTTCTTAGAGCAGGTTTTGTATTCTCGACAGACCTGTACTCATTGATTTGAAATCAGGAAAAGCCACTTTGCAATGTGTTGGCAAATGCTACTCGTGTTATCCCAGGCAGAGCAAGTTGGGTTCTACATCAAAAGGCAGTGCTCTCGTTGCTTTTTTTTTTACTTTATTGGAGCAAGATTGTATCAGGCTGTGAAATAGCTGCACTCACACTTCCTCTCCTGTGGCTGTTGTGCCCCAGGTCCTCATGAACACACGAGGAATATGAACCTTCTCCAGACTCTGAGAAGATTCTTCCTTTTGCCTGCACGACCCATGAGAAGATCTCTTTGCTTGCGCTGCCTGCACCTCCTCTGCCAGAAAAACTGCCCCATTTTGGCCATTTTTTGTACTACAGCTTCCCTGTCTCCTGTTCTCAGACATGGAGGTCACGTTCTCCTGGTCCTGTTCCTATCTTGGAGCTGCTACTGTCAGACATTCTCTATGGGAACAGATGAGGAGCTCTCCCCATCACACGCTAGCTGCTAGCCATGGGCATCCCAGACAGGACTTTGAAATGCCAGTGTCTGATGACTTGCAGTAATTAGGAGATCCAGAAATAATGTTTCCCTCAATGTTAACACCAAAGCACGACATAGATATGTAATGGGGGTATGCTCAACACCTGGAGGAAAAGTTGGGCCATCTGCAAGGAAGCAAAGGACAGGATATGCAAGACACAAGAATATTACACAAGAATGTTTATTTAGAAGCTTTTGTTAAAATAGTAGTGTGTAAAAACAAAAAGAGAAAAACCTGAGTTGTTAAACATCCATGTACAAAGCTCTTGCACAACAAGAGAAATAAGGTGAAATGCGGTGGAAGAAGCTCTTTGTGGAGGATGTGGACACATGGTGACAAAATGATAGCATTTGGAGCGGGCTGCATAGAGGAAAATGTTCCTCCTACATAGTCCTTGCAGGTCATTCCAGGACAAACTGTTTGCTACTCAGGTGGAGGTAAAGGCACTTAGGACAGACATGGCACAAACGTTAAAGTTTGAAGTTGTGCATGTTTTGGTGGGCTTCTGGCAGTGGAAGGGGCCAAAACTGAACAGATGGATCAGCTGCAATGCCGGCAGAGGCTGGCTCACTTGACAGGACAGTCATTCCTTAGAGCTGCTGATTGTGTGGGAGATGGGAAGACCATGACTGCTGCAGTGGGTGGACCTTGGGGCGGAGGAGGAAGACGTGGAGCACACGCTGGGACATTCATAAATAGTCACCCATGGGTGATGCCTCCAGGACAGGGCTCATCCAAGGGGCGGACAGTGCTGGCTCCACTGCTTCCAGGTAAGGTTTCCCATGCTTTGCTTGAATCCCGTTGTTTTTGGCCACGGAGACACGATGGCAGGAAGGGCCTCTTGATTGCAAATGTCCTGATAAAGACTGGTTCAGCTGCATTTTTGCTTTACTTCCCCTTACAGAGGGGTTTGTCTGTCTGTATTTATTTGCTGAGGTAGAAGAAAGCAGCTAACGCAAACTTGCTTCTGGCGCGAGGGGTGTGTTGTGAGTGACAGCAAGCCATGGAGAGCTCCCCGGGGGAAGGAGACCTCCTGCCTTCCCTAGGGAGAGGGCAGTGGTGGTGGGCAAGGAGAGTCCTTGGGGAGGTTACGGGGAGACTTGCAGAAGACCACAGGAGCCTCTGGCTGGTGAGAGCAGCCCATGCTGTGGGCTCAAGAGCTATTCTGGAAGGTTCTCCAAAGTGGGGATGTGGGACTCAGCACTGGATACTTACGGCTCTGCAGGGACAACCACACACAATCCCTGGACTACAGGTGGGATTACAGTGAGGGGAAGACGCCCAAAATTCATTATAACTGAGACAGCAAGGATAGAAAGCAGGGAGCAGGTGAAGCTCCAGGATGAGTGGAGCTGGTGGTCCACCTTGGGCTTCTTGTGTTCTCTCTATGCAATAGTGTTTTGCTGCATAGAGAGCCCTGTTCCTCCACAATCAGCCCTCCCTGGACCCCAGCAGCTGGCTGGGGCTGGTGTGGCAGGTCTCTGGCGGGTTGCAGCAAGGCAAAGCCCCATTGTGCTGGTGTCCCCAGCCTCTCGGGCTGTGCAGGGGCTGGATATGCAGCCACACTGATGCTGCTCCATGGGAGGGCAGCTGGGGAAGCTCTTCCACGTGGTGCCTGTTCACTTCTGCTTCTGCAAGGCCAGAGCAAGCCTGGAATACGTGCAGTAGCCAGCTCGGCTCAGGGAGCTTGTGCAAGACAAGCTGCAAAACACTGGGAGGGGGGAAAATACACAAAACCAACTTGAAGCAAAAATGCACACAGGGTAGAAGAAACCTGGGAAGCCGGGAGGCAGCAAACGAGGTTGTTTTCAGTGGTCTCAGAGCAACTGATAGACATACCCCAGGTGGTGTCATAGGTACAGAAGAGGGAGAGCTGATTTTTGACAAGGTATCAACAGGAGATGGACAGGCACTTTCTAGATGAACTGATAAATTAATAACAGTGGAGCTGCATGGCTGACCAAGGACAGGTGATGCCCTTTGCTTAATTAACTTTAGTTGGTGTCAGCATGTTCAGATCTACAGTAGGACTAGTGTGGGATGGAGTTGCTGTTGGATTTGGTTGCAGACTGATGTGCTTTCACAATTCCTTCCCAAGGATTTCATCTCTTGCCTGGCTCCCTCCTGTTTGTTGTAAGCACTCTTAAGTCAAACCAAGCTGTGGTGATTGGTCTCCATGGAGCCTTCTCTTCTCTGGGCTGAACAACCCTAACCCTTTCAGCCTGTCTTCTTTGGAGAGGTGCTCCAGCCCTCTGAATGCAATCCCTTCCTCTCCTTCCCTATCCCCATGCAGAGTGGCCATGTGCGTAGGGACGTGCAGCCGGATCGTGGGTCCCTGCCTGCTGGTGCTGGGCACGCTCTCCGTGGCTGCCAACATCCTCCTGCTCTTCCCGGGAGGGACATCAAAGTACCTGGTGGAGGGGCACATCAGCAAGCACGCCAAGGCTGTGCCGGGCATCTGGGGAGGCGGCATCACCGTGAGTATTGCAGCTTGCACCGAGTCCTTCCTCATGTGTCTGTGGAGCGGGGACAAAGGGATGGAGCTGGTGGCTCCCCTTCATCCTCCAGCTCTTCCTTCCATGTTGTCCTTCCCACAGGTGCTGCTGGCAGCGACCCACATCACGGCGGTGGCTCCGACTGCGGCACCCGTCGCAATGTAAGGCAGCACTGGGACCCCCAGAGCAGTCCTAAGCAGCGCATGGTGGGATGCAGTGGCTGGCCCCAGTGTGGGTGGCACTTCTGCCAGGGCCCTGTGGTGGGACATGGCATGAGCCCTCCTCTCCCATGGCCCCGTCATGGGATGTGTACAAACTCCTCTCCAAAGGGAGTTCGTGGCAGGGTGCCCCTCTCCCATGGACCTGTGGTGGGATGCTGCATGGTGCTGCCTCCTCAGAGGACAGGGCTTCCTGTTCATCCTGGCACAGGCTTCGTCCCACCCGGCTCCACATGGCAGATCCCTGCCCTGCTCTCTTACTGCTTCTGCCCAGCTTAAAACAACTCAGTAACTGCTTCATCCTCAGCCTCAGCTCCTCAGGGCTGGACCCTCTTGGGGTGAAGGGAAGGAGAGTTGTTCCCCCTTGCCAAACACACGTGAAACTGCATTTTGGAGCCCACCTAACTTCTGGTGTGGTGTGTCCTTGGTTGCTGTCTACAGGCTTTCATCTCCGCTGTGCTCTCCAAGCTGGCGCTGCTGGGTGCTGCTGCCTGCTTCATCTTCTCTGGGGTGGGTTTGACCAATGGACCCCTCTGCTTCTACAACGCCTCTGAGCACGGCCACAGGCATGGCACCCTCTGGGGTTACCCCTTCCTGGACACTGTCAGCCAGGAGCCTGATGCCAGGTGAGGCAGTGGAGTTGAGTTGCTGGTGATGCCTCGTCCGCTTATTGCTAATGAAGTTGGTGTCACTTTTGGTGGGTGGGTTTGCTGGCTCTGCTCTCCTGAGACCCCCCCTGCAGTCCTGTGTCCAGCTCTGGGCCCCAACACAAAAGGGAGGGGAGCTGCTTGAGTTTGTCCAGAGGAGGCCACAAAGATGCTCCCAGGGCTGGAGCAGCTCTGCTCTGGAGACAGGCTGAGAGAGCTGGGCTTGTTCAGCCTGGAGAAGAGAAGGCTCCTTAAGGGAGACTTTAGAGCAGCTTCCAGTGCCTAAAGGGGCTGACAAGAAATCTGGAGAGGGGCTTTTTACAAGGGCCTGTAGGGACAGGACAAGGGGGAATGGCTTTGAGCTGACAGAGGGGAGACTGAGATTAGATATTATGAAGTTCTTCCCTGTGAGGGTGCTGAGGCACTGGCACAGTTTGCCCTGAGAAGCTGTGACTGCCCCATCCCTGGCAGTGCTCAAGGTCAGTTTGGACGGGGCTTTGATGGTGGAAGGTGTCCCTGCCCATGGCAGGGGGTTGAAACTAAGTAATCTAGAAGGCCCTTTGCAACCCAAACCATTCCGTGATTGCAAGACCTTTGTAGCTCAAGAGATCCTCACTGTCTATGGCTTTCTATATCATGCTTCCCATTGCCATCACCCTGCTGACCCTGCTCGTCCTTGGGATATAGGATGGGGCATACCTCCATGGTGGAAAGTGATGTGATTCCTGACCTGCAGCAGGGCAGCATCTTACATCTCCTCTCCCCGTCATGCAGGACAGAGAACTACCTATATGATCGTCGCACCTGGAGCACCTGCCTGGAGCCGGAGGGCATTGTAGCCTGGAATGTTGTCCTCTTCTCCCTCCTGCTGCTCATCAGTGCTGCTGAGATGGTACTGGCATCCTTCCAGATCCTCAACGGCTGCCTTGGGTGCCTCTGTGGCTTTTGTGATGGGAAGAAGAGTCCCCCATGAGGGACAGACACCTCAGCCTGCATGAGGCTGGCATGCAAAGGGCTGCCTCCGTGCAGGGCCCTCTGCCTGTGCAATACCTCTTCCTCCTCCCTGGAGGATGCCCATGGGGCTGGCAGCCATGTGGGACTGTACATGAGCCCAGAGAGCAATGGAGGTGAGGACCTGGCTCCTGGCATCCTGGCAGGAGCCCAATGGCTTCCCCAGCCACTCCACCGAAGGCTCCCCCCACCCCACGCCCAAACT